TTTCTTAAGGAAAGATTCAATTAACTAGATTTATTTAGATCTTCAGTCTTGCTCTTCTACTAGTTATGAACGTTGGAATTTGGACATTTACGAAGCTGAGACAGAATACGCTGAAAAACTTGGCTGCGGAACATTTTCGATTTATAGTGCCATTAATATGATTTGTTGGCAATAAAGCAAACGATTTTTCAAAGGATTCTCCGAAGAAGTGTACAAGTGCTTCGTGGTATACATCTACAATCTACTTAAGCACCATCAATACTTTCGCTACACATAAACGTGACTGATTGCCTAATCATTTTTATTTGTGTTGACCTTTATTTAACTCTCAGATTAATGCCTTTTTGGAGATTTTACAAAACCGATTTATAGACAATTTGCCCTATCTCTTTGTCATGTAGGTTTATTTGCGTTTTCAAGTTGAGCTGCGTTGTTATGCCCGGGCCCATTTCAACAACCTTCTCCTTGAGCGCATCGACCTCTTTTTCCAGGCCGCACTCTCCTATCAACAGCGCCTTCTATTGGCTATCGGGAAGTTGCGTGAGGCCACCAACTCCAACATCAATCCGTCCGGCTCAACTTGCGTCAAGGTTCCTTGTGTTTCTAGTCGCAACGCAATTTCTGCCACATCTACATCCTCGGAATGGACAGGGTTCCGTGATCGGCTTCTTTCGTTCTCAAGTCGCTGGCACATGCTGCTTCAGCAACAACAGCAGCAACAGCAGCATTCACATCAGACCTCGCAAGGAGTCAATCCTCTGCTGCAGTCAAGTAGTGGAATTAACTCTTCTGTATCAAACCAAAAATTGTTGTCCACACTTTCTTCACCCTCTTCAATGCCATCTCCTGCATTAACTTCACATACTGCCTCATTGCCCCCCCCTCCGCCCCCTCGTTTCATGAAAGAAACGTGTCTTGGCTGGATTGCTGCCCAGCTTGCAGGAGACTCCCGCTACCAGACGATGGCCTATTTGCAAAGCGAACGACAAACAAGTCTACTAGCTCACCTCGACCTACTGCTTCCTCATCCGTGCATTTCGATGCCCTCATTCAGTTTAAACCAGCAGTATCTTCATCAGCAGCATGCTCCCTCAAAAGTTAATTATCACGCCTCTGATGAGGTCGTCGTGAGCCCGGCAGAAGCCCACATGTTGCCTTATTCTCTCAAGTTAACTGGTGGTTCAGATATACACTTCGGTCATATTGCATTGGGAGATGTGACTTCGGATGGTCCCTTTCTCGGCCTATCTTCGATGCAAGCCAGATTTCAGGGTTTATACGGTTCTCCCAATATGACAGGAGCCTATTGTGGTGTTAATTCAGAGGCTACTTCTACGACGATTGCAATTGGCGGCCAGTCTTCAGAAGTCGGACTTGCTCCTACTAGTCTCGTGGCACAATGTCCTTACCAGCAAGCAAATACATGTGCTGATCTCCTCCCTTCCCATTTGCTCGCTTCAGCTATTTCTAAACTTGTGTCAAGATCATCACTGTCTCATTCTCAAATGTCCACATCAGCAGCCTGTCCTTCCACACCACGGAAC